ATATTTAGCCAAAGATTGAGAAATAACTGTCTTACCACAACCAAAGGCACCAGGTACAGCACAAGTACCACCAAGAGTAGTAGGGAATAAAGCATCAATAACACGTTGACAAGTAAGCATAGGAGCAATACCAGGGAGCTTCTCAACACATGGACGAGCATGTCTTACAGGCCATGAATGTGCCATAGATAGCTTAGTAGTAGTACTACTACTTACATCGACATCACTTCCTCCAAGGCTGCTACTGTTGGACTCAATCTCCATTAAACAAGTATGAACAGAGTAATTACCATTAGGGGCAATCCATTGTACACGTCCTTGATTTCCAGGAGGTACCATAACCTTATGGTTACTGAATAAACCATTCTCAATAACAAAACCAATAATATCACCACCAGTTACGATATCACCAACACGTACGTTAGCAGCTGGTTTAAACTCATAGAGTTTATCGCCATCAAGAGCAGCAACATCGACACCACGAGGAATGAACAATGATTTGGATAAATCACGAATACGCTCTAGAGGACGTTGAATACCATCAAAGATGTTATTAAGAATACCAGGTCCTAGCTCAAGAGCAAGAGGTTTACCAGTCTTGATAACCGGATCACCAACAGTTAAACCAGCAGTATCTTCATAAACCTAATAATGATAAGCTTATAATAATAATCTTGTTATTATTAGTAGTAGTTGTAATTACCTGAATTGAGGCAGTATCTCCCTCAATCTTGATAATCTCTCCGACAAGATTCTCCCAACCAACACGAACCACTTCGTACATCTTAGAACCGGACATGTTATCAGCCACGACCAAAGGACCGGCGACCTACCAATGGGAAGCATAAATAACCACTCTTCATGCATTCCCTGTGGTAAGAGGCTCTCTAGAGGCTCAATACGAATAAACGTTAGTCGGCGTCATTCGCTCACCTTATGAATACGCCCGATAGATGCTTCGGAAGACTTGGCCATTACCATGATAAAAAAGTAGTGACTTCAACACTAAGAACTAACACCGGGTGATGATGGCCACAATTACTGATATTATCCCAAAACCAAACGAGCGACGGAGACATAAGAACTCTAAGCTTAGGGCACACCATCATCAGCCTAACCCCCCAAGGGCGCAGCTCAGGACACAAAGACTGTCCCCTTTTCTGAGTACTGATATTGTTACATACCTATTAGGATATATACATCCTCCTCGTCCTTCTCATTTAAGTATCATATAGAGTATAGTTATGAAGAGGATTGAATATGCTTAGATATATCATCAAGATGGATGTAGTACTTGTCAAGGTCATTATTATTATGGACGTGATAGGACAGTTATAGTAGTAGTAGCTAAGCATTATACCGGGGCACCTATGCCATAGCCCCAAGATATGTCTTAGCGTCATAAATCTCGTGGGCGCTCGCAGTAGGAAGAGCAACTCCGTCGTCAACACGATCCAAGCAGCTTCATTTTCAATGGATTGTGGGGATCAACTTGACTGCTAATGAGATCTGGGGCAGATATGCCACAACGAGAGTGACGCCTACAATCGTCATGACAGGACAAAATGCTCACTCTAATCCACAAGACTTCCCTCGCCTTCAGAGGACGCCAACAGGACGCCTGTAACCCTGGCATACTTGCCCCAGGCAACAGTGACGCCTGTGACCCTGGCATACCTGCCCCAGGCAACGGTGACGCCTGTAACCCTGGCATACCTGCCCCAGGCAACAGCGACGCTTGTAACCCTGGCATACCTGCCCCAGACAACAGTGACGCCTGTAACCCTGGCATACCTGCCCCAGGCAACGGTGACGCCTGTAACCCTGGCATACCTGCCCCAGGCAACGGTGACGCCTGTAACCCTGGCATACCTGCCCCAGGCAACAGTGACGCCTGTAACCCTGGCATACCTGCCCCATTGTATTATTGAACCCTCATGAACACAGTAGTAGTTATTGAAGAAGAAAATGTAGTAGAAGATATGATAATACCTTGAGGAGAGCAGTAGGGTGAAGAATGATACTACTATAGTAGTAATAGGTGATGATGATTACAACACTGAGTAGCAGCCATTATACACCGTGATATCATCATCATCCACCACCATACAACAACAGTATCAGAAACCACAATCCGAGTACTATCCACCTCTTACAACAGGGTCACATAAAGGAATATTCACTAATAGCAGTTATGACAGCACTATATCCAACTTCAGTCATCAATGACCACTCGTTCAATCGAATATCGTTACCGACAATACTGCCTTGGAAAAAGTGACACTATGCTGACAGTCTACTCCTGTGATACACAGCAGTTCCCGTACCATCAGTACGTACAACAACAGTCAACAGTAGGGTTGTGGTGAAACAATGGAAAAAATCACCTAGCTGAATGGTCATACTGAAACTAGAACCATGAGTAAGGTTCAACAGTTGTGGCAGTAGTTATTATTAGTTGGTATTGTTAGTCTCATCTAGAAGATTCTGGAAGGCAGTATCAATCTGGTTAACAAGATTAGCAAAGAAGTTAGCGAAATCCTCTTCACTATGTTGAGGCATCTCGAACTTCATATTGGTAATAGCGACGATAACATCCTTGCAAGCAGTAGATATCTGTGACCATCCAATAACCTTATCACCATGATTCTCAGACAAACATTTCTGAGCAGCATCATAGAAATGACAGATACATTTCATCATACCAATAGTCTTAGCTAGAGGGCACATATAATCATAATCACTGAAACCATTCTGTTGAAGGAAATCTTCACGAATAATACGAGCAACCTCTAAAGTACACTTCTGATCTTCAGATAGTGAATCACGACCAACCAATTGTACAATTTCTTGTAGATCATCTTCAGTCTGAAGAATCTCTTTAACCTTTTGTTGTAAAGATGAATACTCATTATCATACTTGTTGAAGAAGGGCTCCAAGGCACGAGTATACTTTGAGAAAGAGATATTCCAGTTAATGGAAGGGAAATGCTTCCTCTGAGCCAACTTCTTATCAAGACCCCAGAATACTTGTACAATAGATAGAGTTGCTGAGGTAACAGGATCAGTGAAATCACCACCAGGAGGAGATACAGCACCAACAATAGTTACCGCACCCTCACGATCAGGAGAACCCATACACTTAACACGTCCAGCACGCTCATAGAAGGAAGCAAGACGAGCACCGAGATAAGCAGGATAACCAGAATCAGCAGGCATCTCAGCCAAACGACCAGATATTTCACGTAAAGCCTCAGCCCAACGAGAAGTAGAATCAGCCATCATACTAACATTAAGTCCCATATCACGGAAATACTCAGCAGTGGTGACACCAGTATAGACAGATGCCTCACGAGCAGCAACAGGCATATTAGAGGTATTAGCAACCAAGGTAGTACGTTGCATAATCTGTTCCTCTTTACCATTAATAAGAGTAGTAAGTTGAGGGAATTCAGTTAAGACTTCAGCCATTTCATTACCACGTTCACCACAACCAACATAAACAACAACATCACTATTGGAATATTTAGCCAAAGATTGAGAAATAACTGTCTTACCACAACCAAAGGCACCAGGTACAGCACAAGTACCACCAAGAGTAGTAGGGAATAAAGCATCAATAACACGTTGACAAGTAAGCATAGGAGCAATACCAGGGAGCTTCTCAACACATGGACGAGCATGTCTTACAGGCCATGAATGTGCCATAGATAGCTTAGTAGTACTACTACTACTTACATCGACATCACTTCCTCCAAGGCTGCTACTGTTGGACTCAATCTCCATTAAACAAGTATGAACAGAGTAATTACCATTAGGGGCAATCCATTGTACACGTCCTTGATTTCCAGGAGGTACCATAACCTTATGGTTACTGAATAAACCATTCTCAATAACAAAACCAATAATATCACCACCAGTTACGATATCACCAACACGTACGTTAGCAGCTGGTTTAAACTCATAGAGTTTATCGCCATCAAGAGCAGCAACATCGACACCACGAGGAATGAACAATGATTTGGATAAATCACGAATACGCTCTAGAGGACGTTGAATACCATCAAAGATGTTATTAAGAATACCAGGTCCTAGCTCAAGAGCAAGAGGTTTACCAGTCTTGATAACCGGATCACCAACAGTTAAACCAGCAGTATCTTCATAAACCTAATAATGATAAGCTTATAATAATAATCTTGTTATTATTAGTGGTAGTTGTAATTACCTGAATTGAGGCAGTATCTCCCTCAATCTTGATAATCTCTCCGACAAGATTCTCCCAACCAACACGAACCACTTCGTACATCTTAGAACCGGACATGTTATCAGCCACGACCAAAGGACCGGCGACCTAAAGATTCATACTACTCACAATAACAAGAGTACTACTACTTACCTTATGAATACGTCCGATAGAAGCCTCTTCCTGTTGAGCCTTAACCATAATGATAGTAGAAGGAGTTATGAACTGCAATAACAACTATATCAACAAGAACGAGAGAAGAAGCTCAGCTTAGGTGTGCTTAGCACTCTTAACTTATTTGTAGATCTCGCTCGCCCTAAAATATTTGGCTGCGGCTGGTTGTTGTGATGGTGGTGGTGAAGTGCAGTGTGGTCGTAGCAGAGTGGGTGGTTGGTGATAGTTTATTAAGGCCTCTTTGATGACAGTACCTTTATTATTATGGATAGGGTTATGGATAGGATTGGTAGTTTTATTAGAGGTAGTATTCTAATGTAAGGGTTGGGGTATAGAGATCTTTAGGGATGTGATAAGGATAGAAGAAGAAAGCATGCTACTAATACGGCACATGTATCGATTGATGAAGCTAAACGACTAGCATTAGAAGAGGTTATACTGGGGCTATCTAACAATACTTATAATCTTGATAACAACACGAAGAGCTCTCCTTAGTAGGATGAATATCTATTCAATGAATAGTCAGTATCCTTCTTAGTGTGATGATTGCTCATGAAGATCGTGGTATATCTAATGATGATATATGCGAGGTAATATAAACTGAATATGCTGTTGTTGATGATGATGATGAATATTATGATCTTATGTAGGTACGATTTTATAATAATGATGGATATGGTCCATGCACCTTGTATTATACTTTCCAACTATCTGCTAAGGAATACCTACTTAATGGTATTAAATGTATAGATGATACTACTGGTGATGAATATGAAACATATACTAATAATATACCTACAACAGAGTTAACACACTTCACCACACTTGTGCATGATTGTGAGACCTTAGCAACAGTCATCAACAGGTAGTAATAATAATAAGGTGGATCATCATCATGCTGTAGTGGTGGTATACTACCTGATAGATACCTAGTATCACGTAAACCTGCTCTAGCAGACTTACGTCAGATGATACTCATAGGGGAGGCCATGGCTAGTAGTGGTGATGATGATGGCTCTAAACATGATGAAAAGGAACATGAGGATGATCTATGTGCTATACAGATAGTATACATGTATATCACTTCATCATCATCATCATACTACTATTCTTTAGTCTTCATCTGTTCCTCCAATATACGCTATATTAGAGAGGAATAACAGTGTGTGGTATGTTAAATATATGCTAGTACAGGTATGATGATGATGATGATGATGATGTTAAGAATAGTAATGTGATTATGTTCAGGATTATATAGTAGAAGGGAGTATTGCCAACAAGTTACCTCATCTAACCCTATCATCATTATTCACCTTCATCTTATCTAAAGTAAGACCCTACTACTACTATTGGTAGTAGTAGTAGTAGTAGTAGTAGTAGTAAT